TGAACAAGCTTAAACTCCACAAGATCCCCTGAAGTCTCTGTGGCTTCTTGCTGCTGCTGTGCATGGGTCAGGGAGGGCAGAACTGAACCCACAGCTTAAGCAGTTCACTCTCATTTTAATTTCACAGGTTTAGCATGGCTGGTGTAATTCACATGTAAAATCACAGCAGTCATCCAAATCTCTGCTGCCTGGGCATTGGCTGGCTGCATTTCTGGAAATTCATGGTCATAACATGATACCTATTTTTTGAGTTTCCATTAGGAACCGGTTCTGTCAGGCATGATTGCATTTGCAAGAGCTCAGGAGGCAGGAAAATTTGAAAAAGTGTTTATGAGACTGGGTATAAATCACAGCTCTCAGGTTTTTCTCCCTTCTTCAATTAAAAGACTACATTCAGAGGAACCATTTCCCCCATCTACTCTCCTCATCTCCCTCCAGAAATGATGAATCCCACTCCAGCTGTAAACTGGATCCCAGGTGTACCCATATATATAATATATATACTAACAGCTACTCATGGGCATAAGGGCTCTTTCACAGTTACTGTGGAAACAAAGGTATCAAATTTCCTGCCTCTTAAGGATCTACCTTCTCTACCTTAATATGCATTTACCTTGAATAAATCACTTCTGAGCTCTTCAGCCCAGAAACATCCCTCAGTAGAGTGAGATTGGGTTCACCTTTAGGAGGCTCCATGTTAACCCAACACCAGCGTCCCTGGGGCTGCCTCCAACCCACACAATCCATGGGTGGGAGCAGGGTACAGGAGGAGAACATCCTCCTGCAGGCACAGATGGACTTGCTCCTGCTCAGCTCAGCTCCAAGGGCATCAGCTGCCTCTGGGGCAACCACTGCAGGTCCTGCTAGCACCAAAACCTCATCAGCTCCTCTCACTGCCTGGACAACCTGGGCTCTGCTTTGTCTCACCAGAGTTTGCAGACCTCAAGGCTGAATTTGGCTCTGCAGGAATGGGCAATCATTTACCAGCTACTGAAACAATGCCCAGTCTGGATGGGGATGCAGCAGCATGGAGCCACACGAGACACGAGGCAGTGTCTTGAGGGGAATGTCATCACATGCTGCTAAGGCTCCAGAGGGACAATATGACACTTCAACAAAATTTTCTTCCACTTCTAGTCGTGACCACATAAGAACCCAAAGATGCTTCAATAAAAAGGGCAAATTCAGCCCAGATGTAACCTCAGGGATTTCAGCAGAGCTTGTCGCAGGGCTGAGCCTGACCCACCTCATCTGTGTGTAAGCACAGCTGGGAAATTCTCCCTGGGCAGCTGTGAGAGGACCCACTGTATCCACACAGCTTGTCCCAGGGATGCTGATGCTGTCCTGCAAGAGGCACCTCAGCACCCAGCACAGCATTAAAAACATTCACAACAGCCAGGTCAGACAGCTGGTGACAGCAGTGGCTTTCAGGGTCTTTAGAGCTGTTGAGCACTGTGTAACTTCCAGTTCACTCCGCAGTCCATTTGCTAAAATTCCCAGCAAACAGCAGGAGAACTGCTCTCACCTCATTCATGCTTCAGGATCTTTATTTTTATGATGATCTTTGGCATTTTTAAGACACCCCTCCCACCTCAGTAACTCAGTGCTTAGCCAAACTACCAGGACAGGAGACTGCTGATCCCTCAATTAAAATGTGCTTTTGTACTTATAAATCTGGAAAAATACCATTGTCAACAATACAGTCTTCCTATTACACACTAACTATGCACACAAACTGATACATTCATAAGCTGAAACATGAAAGGTATCACCAATATACAACAAAATGACTCGCTGCAATCCTGTCACCCTCCCCAGCACAAAGGCAGGGCCTCTTCCTGTCACAAGCCAAGCCAAAACAAGACCTGGCTCAGATGGGATGTCAAAACGTCAAACTGTACGTACTTAACCTTTGCACTTCCAAAACAGCAAAGATCCTGTGAAAAGAAATTATTACAATTCTTTCCTTTTTATCTTCTCAAGCACTTAGGAAGGAAAGTTTGTACATTGCTCCCTCAAAAATTTCCCTCATATAACAATGCAGCTCAACTTTTTTTTCTTTCGTTTTTTATTTGCCATGTTCTAGTTTCTTGAAAAAGCCCTCTCTGTTCTGCCTTCCTGTCTGGCAGGTTGTGCTGTTTGGAAAGGATCCTTTTCTTCCCCTTACCTTGTACTGCCCACATCCCACTGTTCCACCCCCCAGCCTGGTCCCTTGGCTAAGCTTAGCTGGACTTTCTCTGCAGACCCTAATCACTGCTCTGAGATTAGCTGGGTTAGGTGTTGCAGACAGATGCAGAGCCCTTCCTCTCCCACACCCCAAATCCCTGCCAAACTCTGGCTTAGTAGTATCACACCGGATCTTGAAATCAAACTCCAGGGTCTTGCATGATAAATCAAGAGCATTTGCTGGGCTTGGCTGTACCTCCTTTACTTATGGCAACTGTGGGGGTTTAATCTGCCTGAGGATTTGACAGCACTTCACCTATAGAACAGATGTTACTGTATCAGCAATCATTGACAAAAATCGTGCTTGTTTTGATGGGAAACAGGAGGGGGTCCTTCAAAAGCATTGATCACCTCAGGAAAAACTTCCTTGTGACTTTGCTGGCATCCTCATGAATCCTGCAATTTTCCCAGCTAGAACATCCACCCAAAGAGAGCTGGCCTGGGGCTGTTTGACCCTTTAAGAGCCAAATATTAAGTAAATAAGTTCAAACTCTCTGCCCTTTATTGCTTCCTTATGATACTTAATGAGCCTTCCCTACACTAAGATATCAATCCTCCTCTGCTCCCCAAGCCACACAGTCACTAGAAATATTAGTGTCTGCCTTCCCTCTGTTTTGCAGGAGGATTCTCTGAAGGACTGAATAGTAGTATCACAATAGGCTGAAGCTGGAGGTTCAGCTTTCCAGCCCTTACACAGACTCAATGCCCCTCTCTAAATCAGTTGGAAGGCTGCAGCTCAAATTTCAGCCTATGTTAAGTCACTGTTCAGCTCTGCTCCTTCAGCAAAAGAGAGGGAAGCCAGAAGAGCCTTTTTCTAAAGCAAAAAACTGTGTGGGGAGAAGGGTGGGGAAAGGAAGCAAAAACACATGGAGATCGTTTTTTCTGCATCACAAGGAGCAATGAAAGGCACAGGCAACTTTTCAAACACGTCAGAATAGCTTAGTGTGATTTGTAACCAAGAGGAAGTTTGCATAAGCTACAAGAAACATCAACTTTTTTGGGGGAAGGAGACAAATAAGGCAGCAATGACCTGCATGGAGACCCTTCTGACTTCTGCAGAGGATTGAGACACTTACATAATTTTGTAACAGAGAACCATTGACGTGAACTTCTGAAACCAGCATCTCATTAAGGGGAAACAAAGACTTAACATGGGCTTCAACATCAGCATGCTGCTGCCCCATATCACAGCCTACATCATCACATCCCAGCCGGTCCCCCAGACCCGGTGTCAGCTACAGAAATGCCTGACCCCACACACCATGCTGGCACCTACCCATCTTCCTAAACACACTGAGAACTGGCTGCAACCCACTTGCATGAGTGCAAGGACAGCAGATACAAACCCAGAAAGGCAAGGAGATGAGGGATGTTTTCCTTACCGGTTTTTAGTCAAACTAAGAGTGTTCCCTCTTAAGCCTGCCAGACTGGAGCTTAAGGAATCAAAACTCCGTTCCTAATTAACACATCATCAGGCCCCACCAGCCAGACTTCACTCCCAAGAGGGGAGCCTGGGCCAGCCTGGATGATGAATGAGAACTCAAGCAGCTGAACTGTTTCAAAGCCTAAACTGGCAACTGCAAGGACAAGCAGTTTTGGAAAGGCATACAGGAAAAAACAAAATATCCAGTAAAGTTACATTTCACTATTTAGCACCCAGACCTGCACTGTGTTACTGCTGCAGAGCTTTCCCTCCAGTGAAGCATCCTGCAAAGCCCATGGCTACAGGAGCAGCTCCTTCTCTCCTGAAATGCAGCCACTTCTCCGGTGAAAACCTCACAACTGCAAATCACTGGAGGGAAACTCATTCTGCCAGCTTAACCCCAATAAACTTTCACGAGTAAATTAAATTGATCTACCACACTTGGGACATTTACACAAGACCAGCCCTCTTGACTGCAGCATTCTTGCACACCAGGGACAGCAGTTTCATCTGCTTGCGTGACCATTATTGAGGAGAAAGGTCTGGAATTTGCAAAGATCTCTATTTTGACTGTTCCTTGACACAGCACAATAGGACCAACACATCCACTGCAGTGATACTCACATTTGTTGCAACAGACCACCCAAACAGACATACCATGCAACATAATTCCTGTCTGCTGGCACCACTCCATACTGTTCAGCTCTCTCTCCCCCTTCAGCCACAAATGCCCCGGCAGAGGCAACAAGCTCTGCTCTATTATTGGAAGACTCAGTAGAGCACATCCCCCACAAGTCAACTACCTCCCCCTTCCAAATACTCCCTCCCTCCCGACCAAAGTGAGTATTAAAACCCAGCAACTGTCTCCCGTTGGAACCAGATGGCAGGAATAGCTGGAGAGCTTTCAAACACCCTATACAGTCAATACTTCAGTGCAACATGAAAGCCCCGTTAAGCAAGTGTGTATCTGCATACACACCCCTGCTCAGGGACCACAGCAATGGCAGAAAGCACTCCATTAACTCCTCTAGTGCCGTAAGTGTCTGTCAGCATTCAGGACCTTCACACAACCTGAGCACTGGCCAAACTTTGGTGGCTTGTGCAGTTCTTGAGCTCTCCTGAAGCTATAAATTGCAGCAGGCTGGTATTATAAATAAGGAAAGCTGGAGATTGCAAATTGATTAAGACCATTACTTTGTGTCAGATCTAACTCATTTCCAGCTGGCTCGAGTAAAAGGAAAAGCTACCAGAAACCCCACACTCTGACAACACAAAGACAAATGCAATTCCCTACCCTGTCCAGCTCTGGGGATACGTGCAAAGCTTCATAACTCAGTTCCAGCTCACTTACCTCGTCCATTTTTTCTGATGTTGGAGTCTGGTCACCAGGTACCATTTCTTTAGCCTCCAGGGTTTCAATTTTGGAGGTCCTGCTCAGCTGATCAATGGGAGTCATGCTGGCCTCCGATGTTCCCCGGGAATTCTGACTCAGAGAAGCTGTCCCAGGGATGGGCTCGTCATCATCAGAGTCAGGTAAGGGTGTGGGGCTGATGTCCTCCAAACCTGTGCTGGAAGGGCGTGAGGAAGGCGTCTGACCCCTGAAACCAGGCTGAGAGTTCGAACCGTATGTTGGGATGGGGGAGAGCTGGGAAGAAGAGGAGGAAATAGGGCTACCTTCCATTCGGATCTCATTATCTGAGTCATGCTCGTTAAGAAAAGGTAATTTTGTTCTCTGCTCTTTTAAGAGCATCTCAATCCTTGAGTCTAAACTGTTATGCTGCATCTCAGACTCCATGGTGGGGGTGCCAGGGGTCTCACTCCTCTCTGGAGTCTGAGAGAAGGATGCTGTGCTCGGTTCAGGAACAGAGTTTGAGTCGGGCAAGGGCGGAGGCTCCTCTGGTTTCTCCTTCACTGGGACAAAATCGATGCTCGGGGCAGCGCTGCTTTCCACAACCATCTCGGTGGGAGGCGGTGCAGGTCTCCGGTACTCTGTCTCCCTGGAAGTTTGGGGAAACGGCTGTTCATCAGATTGGGGAAAAACAGCTGGTGCTTGGTAGGGGGAGAAGGCGGATTTATAGCTCGAAGAACTAGAGTGGCTCAGGGGAGGAGTGTGAGAGAACTGAACTGGCTCCTGCTGATGGGATTTGAATGTGCTAAACTGATGCTCTGTGCCTCGGAACACCCCCGCCGAGTTGTGCAGGTAGTGGTGTCCCGGGCGACGGTTGTACGCATCCGTAAATTTCGTCTCGTGCCTCCTGGGTTTGTACCCACTGTCCTGCCCAAAATGGTACACAGGCGTTGTCTGTCGGCTGGAGTAGGTGGAATCCTGGGAGAACGGTGTCCCCAGGCGTGGGGTGTGGGGTGTTCCTTGGGACTGTGGGGTGAATTGGCTGTAGGAGTTTGGGGTGTCTTGCCGACAGCTGGAATAGGCTGTGTCGTGGGAAAAGGGCGTGCTGCTGTTTGGGGTAACGGAGGATCCCGCGGAAGACAGGGAACTGTCCTTCAAGCGCTTCAGGGAGTCCGTCAACTGTAACAGAAGAGAGAAAAGCACCTCAACAAATACTTTTATAAAGATATTTGTCTAATCTGGTTTTCAAAGGAGTTCCCAAGAGTTTGTGCTGACTTCCACGGCAAAAAAATAAATAAATAGGTTACAGCATCCCTGAAAACACAAATCATTATCCATTATTAACAGTCCCCTTTGATTTAAAAGAAAAAGTCAGGCTAAGAGTAACTTGTCTGCAAGGGCAGGAAGAAGAAAGCAGATACAAGTTTCCCTCATAAGCTGCCCCCAAGAGCATCAGGTGAACTGGAGACTTTAAACACCACTTTTAGCTGGAAAAGTTCCAGTTTCTAGCAACTATGTAATGCTTGTCAAAGCTGCAAACAGGGAAGAAAAAAAGAAAAGTCTGAGATGTAAAATTGTCAATTTATCTTTTTTTTTTTTTTTTTGTGAACAAATCAATACATACAAATGAGTAAACTGCCAGCCTGCAGCCAAACCTATGCAGCAGAGCTGGCCCACCATCCTCCCTACCACTCACCTGTAACAAGGGAGAAAACTACATGTACAAAAAGTACAAAAAGTTCTCAACTGCTAGAAAAGCACCGTTTGAAAGCTTTTCACAAAGACAAATGCTCAGAGTACTCCTGATTATGGCATTTGAAGCTGAAACCCTACAAACCTACAGAGCAGCCAAATAATTGCTCTGCAACTCACTTCACAGGCACGTTCAGGGGGTTTCTAGGAGCAGCCCTGCTCCAGCTCAGACTCTGCTGAGTCATAACAGTGCCACACTTATCATCAGCTCCAGAATCAATTTTCCATCATGCAAAGCAGGAGCTCAGTGAGAATCCTCCTGGTAGCAAGAGAGGATGGACTGAGCTCCAGCTGCCCAAAGCACACCACGATAGTCAACTGGTGAGACCTCTTAAGCACAGGTAGGCAGAGACGTGTAAAATCACCTGCTTGGAACATGCCAGCACCATCAAACTCAAGCTGAACTCTCACCTGCCTGCTATGTTCACACGTCTCACCCACTCAGTAGTGTGGACTTGCTCTCAGTTTGACCCCCTGGACACCATGACCAGAGAGACATCAGGAGAATTTCTTCCTCAACTGTCCTAAAACCCACAGAAAGAAGCAGGAAGCACGTGGCTGGCTCTTAACAACATCCACACTGCTGCACCTTTAGTGTAGATGTGCTGTGGAGTGTTTTTCAGTGGGGTTTGTGTATGGCCTGGAGGCAGGGATTGCAGAACTGTCAGATCTTTGCTGCTCTGCATGAGAGGAGGAGCAAATGTCAGGAGTAATTTACTACACTACAACAGCAAACAAGTTTGTTGGCAGATTCTAGTGTCATAACCATGATGCAAACAGTTAAAAGTTACTCACAAAGCAATAATTCTGGTGGTAATTGGGAAAAAAATCAATTCAGGACAATAATATAACACATGAACACAATATCTAGAAAAAGAATCTTAAGGATAATTACAGCAGGGACTGCTTTGGGTGATACCATCAATTAAGCATTTTGCTCTTAACCCTGAAAAAAAGGAGTAAGAACAAATCTGCCCATTTTTATTTGAGATGCGGAAGCAGCAGAAATGAGTGGTCAGGGTCTACTCATAGCAGAGATCCCAGCAAAATCATTACTTGCCTCCCTCTTGCCTTTGAAAGCACCTTGCTGGGAGGTAAGGAAGAACCAACCTCTTTATGATTTTGTTAAAAAGATACCAAGATTTTGCCTTGGTGCTGTTGGGGTACTTTGTGGGAGGAGACGTTTTTGTTGTTTTTATTTTTTTTTTCAGATCAATGGGATTTTCATGTTCAATGTACAGCTATTACCTGTCCTGACAATGCTTGACCATGGATTTAATGAAATCATGACATTTAAGGAAGCTGTATGAGTACAGAGAAGTAGAGAGAAGGAAAAAAAAATCTTTGCTAAATCTCTTTTAAATTTGATGACTTAAAATCAGTTCTTAAGACACAATGAGGAGCCAAAGTACATTTAGACAAGCCAAAGAGGCTGATGACTTCACACAAACACGCTTCCCTTCCCCCTGACCTTCTCATCCCAGTGGGGTTCACAAGGAAGCAGGTAATCGTGCAAAGCCACGTAGAGAATTGTGCCCTAAATATTGAGGGACCCCTGGAAGCCCACAGGAATTTTGTCCACTGCTTTTATTAAAAGCTGATTCCAGCAACTAATTAAGATTCTGGAAAATTGATGCCACTACTGAAGCTCAGACACCTTCCACCTCTTAGCCTTTAAGCAAGGCTGAAGTCCGTGCGCGCTGAGGATTACACACCGCAGACGCCAGGCCAAATGTACCACTGTAAATCATTCCCCTGACTTCAAGGGAATAATCTCATCTCAGGGACAGATCTGATCCAGTCCTAACTGCAGGAATTTCTAATGTTAATAGGACACGTTCTGTCAGTTCTGTAGGCATTTTTCACTCAGAAAGACAAAAAGCACTTCCCGTGCAAAGCAGGCACACATCAGCCATGTGCTCCACATTCAGAGGCACGTTTGCTATGGCAATTATGAGCAAGTTCTATTTAAATATGAATTAATAACATCCATTGGAACTATGGCAAGACACAAAAAAAGCTAAATTAAAAATGTTAAAATGCTAACATTCATGTTTGAGATTTTCTATAAAGTCTTTCTTTAAAAAAAAGCCAAGCACACCTACCTGGAGAGCTTCATTCCCAGTTGGGGACACATCCTGTTCAGTGCCTACAGGGAGGGTCTGAGGAGTGTAAAGACCATTAACCAGCAGTTCATAGAATCTCATGCGGGTTTCACCTGCACAGATCACAATGCAAGAGTTGATTAAACGGAAATATCAAAATCCATGTGAAAATACACATTCTTGACACTCCCAGCCCACTGCATCCATGCAAGAGAGGAGCAGTTATCACCTCGGAGCTCACAGGGATCATTTTTAAATAATCTGCTGGGCAAGTGAAGTCAGACACTGCCTTCTCCAGCCAGGACAAGGAGATTTCTAAATCCTTTTTCCTCTTCTCAGCCTCCTTGGCAGCTCTGCTCCTTTACCATGCTTTCTGGAGTGCAGCCGTTTCCCTCCTCTCCCAAATGCCAAGCAAATAGCTTGCAGATTTGAGAAGTGAAACTCTCACCCAAGGGAGAAGCCTCTGCCAACATCCAGAGCCACTTCAGAAAGCTCTCCCTACACACCTTGCTCATAGGAACTGCCTGTTACTAATGCCAACACAATGCATGGGAATGCTGAGGAAAAAAACATTAATGCTGCCTTTCCAAAAAGACACCAATTAATCCTCTTTTTCCCCCTAGTTTAAGGAGAACTCAGTGGCATCCTTCAAAGAATAAATCCAGAGAAGCAAACTGTCCCATATAGTGTTACTGAACCTCAGCCTTTACATTCCTAAAGTCTACAAAGACCCAGTTTCTTAATATTGAATTTTTCATTACTACAAAAACTTAATCCTACTTATTTTGCAGTCTGTAAGAAATCTGTCATCAGCTTCAAAGGCAACAGAATCAGCCCCTGAAACTGTCTGAATTTTGCTCTGAAAGATAAAGAATACATAGAAAAATGGACAGACCTGGCACCTGAGCCCAGAAAATTAATTCAGGCAATATCTCCCCAAAACCAGGACTACTTTTATGAGAAAGTCCTGCAGGAACAAACCACAAACCCCCTGTGAATCACCCTGTTCAATTCAAAAACAAAACACTCCTTAGCACAATTTGGTCCTGAAAAAGACTTATTTATCTTGAACAAATGCTACAGATGAAGTTATTTCAAATATCAGGGTATCAAATCTCATTTCACAAAGTCTTTAGCCTCATCCTCAACTATGTAAACCGTTTAAGTTCAACCAAACTCATGACAAAATAGATCTCTTCACTGAAAGTCTGAAGATAAGCTTGAAATATTAAAACACACCACCCACACATGACACTACAACACCACGGATATGGAAGTGTTAGGCCTAGTTTCACTTGCTCTTAAGAGAAAAAAAAAAAAAAAAAGTAATTGTTACATAGTTCTTCCTGGGTCCCAAACATACTGCAGGAAAAGTTACAATTTCAAAGAGGTTTATGAATGTGCTGTTGTTCTAAGACAGATAATTACTAGTTGTGTCCAGTCTGTAGATGGATAAACTTAGCCAGAGAATTTTCTTTAAACAACCCTGTCTCAGATGAGGAGACTGGATTTATTAGTTTCAGATTCCCAGGCCACGGCAGACAGATAAAAATGACACTTCCACTCCTAATATTTATTTTGCTACACTGTTTATTTATTTTGCTACCAACCTTTCATTGTCTTATGAAGCAGAATTCTAGAAAGAAATGGTGAAAATAATACATATATATTTTAAGTATCTCCTAACCTGCTAATGCTATTTTAAGAATACCATTTTTACTTGATTCTGACAGATTATAGCACACTGACAGTCCTACTCTTTTAGAAAGAAAGAGAAGCAATTGTGTGAAAAAAACTACATTAGGAGCATAAAGCTGGCAAACAAAACAGCAATGCAATTTGAAACTGACTTCAGCATTTTCCCCCAGGAAAGAGAAGCATAACCCCCCCCCCTCCCTGATGTGCTACAAACTTTCAGGAACAGCTGCCTGGTCAAGACTTGCAGCATAGTTTATAAACTGAGGAGAACAAGGAGGAAGGCGGTATAATCAGCTTGTTTAAAATGATTGTCATTAAGCCATCCATCACTTACAAAACAGCTTTAGCTTATATTATTAAATCTGCAAATGGTTAATTTGTCCTTAAATGTGATTTTTACCTTCAAATTTCAAAGCAAGGGAAGGAGCCTATCTGTAAAAATTATTGATACTAGAATTTCAAAGTATACACATGTAAGGTCAAGCCTAGCTCACAACAGAAAATATTATAGTGCTACTGTAATTTTTCTTCTAACAGTGGTCAGTAATGTCAATAAACATCCTGTTCTACTCTATCACATGTGGCACACTGACTGCTGTGTTGGCTGTGTACTAAACTGTTGAAACCTCTAAATACAGAACAAAAATAACAGCATTTTCAAGAAAATGGTGTTGGCAATGTCTTTTTCCCAAGAAAGAGTGCAGCAAGCCAGTTTTAAACTAGAAATGCCACCTTTGGAATGTAGAAATACAATCAGCAACTGATTCACACCTTCTCTGTCTTAGACATTTTCTAAAATTCAGACAGGTTTTAGCAAAGCCCTTTCACTAGCATGCTTGGAGGAGAGAGAACAGACCGAAAGCAATGCCTTCACACTTGCAGAAACTTTAGTGGGTTTCTGAGGGCTCAGGAGTGGGGCTGGGAGCTGGTTCCTCCAGCACAGGGAGCTGCTGTCGCTTTAAGAGCCAGTCTCACACTTACACACTCGCACACACTGACAAGTGCTGCGTGTGCATTCTGCTGTGCCAGCCCCCAGCCCGCTCTAAGTATCAATGAAATGCCAGGCACGCAGGGGACAGCACCCAGCCCCGCTGCTGCCACCCAAATCCACAGATTTGGGTCCCAGGGACAACCAGGACTTGCCCAAAAATCCCAGGTTTGCAAAACGCTGGTGCCACCGGGTCCAGCAGCCCTGGCAGGTGGCTGAGAGGGACCAGCCTGGGGCAGGGAGATGAGGGACATGAGAGGGCAGCGAGCGGGGACAGGGACAGGGACAGGCAGGGGACAGGCAGGATGGCAGCATTTTGCAAATTACAGGGCTGTCTCTTAGCAACAGACAACACATTTGGCTCCACGTGACTCGCCCAGGCCCCAGACACCAGACCCGCTGCCGGCTCCCTTCGTATTTTTAATCACCAGGTCCTTGCCCTCTGCAACAGCCTCTGTGGTGGGAGTGGGACGGGCAGGGGCTCTGCAAACCCCAAATGCGCGAGGCCCAAATGTGCCCCCTCACCTTTTGTATCCAGCTCCACGTGGATGATGTTGCCCATGACAGAGGTGTTGTGAAGGTGCTGCACAGCCTCCCGGGCACCCTTGACAGTGGCAAAGATGACTTTGGCAATGCCCAGGTGCTTCTTGTTCTTGGGGTTGTATAGAATTTCCACCTCTTCCACTTCGCCGTACTTCTTGCACATGTCGGCCAAAAAGTTTTCACGGATGTTGTCATTCAGCTTGGCAAAAGTGACCTGCTTGGGAGGCACTGGCCCCACGTAAAATTCATCAATCTGGAAACGGGCACAAGGTGAGGAACGATAAAGCATTTTTAATGACTGTGGGGGAGGGCCTAAGGATGACAAAGGAGGGAAGGGGTTAAAGCATCCTGCAAACTTTGGGGGGGAAAAAAAAAACCTCCAAGGCTCTGGGTGAACCTCAGAGCTGAGCAGAGGCTCTGCTGCTGCAGCCATTCATTGGAACCGGCTCTTTTCTGGGCTACAAAGATGCACTTTGAGCAGTACTGTCAGCAGAGGACCCCCCCTCCGCCACTGCCCCCCGCCCCAGAAGCCCCAGCTCCAAAATCTTCAAGTGATCTCGTTAGACAGATGCATTGATTTCTTGCTATCTTTATAGAAGAGGATTATTGTTAAACAGTTTGCTAAATAACAACGTTAATAGAAATATGACTGTCATTTAAACGGTCCATTAAACTATTTGGAATTAAGGCTTCGCTCCCAGATAAACAAGTTTCCAGAGCTAAAGCCAAAAGTCAAGACAGTACCTTGAATTTGGGGACAGACAGCTCCAACTCCTTAGTTTTGGTCCATATTCGCCCTATTCTGGGATCCCTGACACAGTCCACAGGAGCGATCCCCGAGTTCTGGGAGAAGGAGGAGGAGGAAGAGGAGGAGAGAAAACATAGAAACAGCAATAACAAGACTCGAAATTTAAGACAAAAATAAAAGAAAAAATAAGCCCCAAGGAAGCACAGGCTGTCTCAAGGGAAGGGGAAAGCGCACACACACACACGTGTCAAATTGCAATACTGCTGAGAAATACACAGATTGGAAACGTAGAAAAAAGCCGCAGGTTTGGGCTCCTGACAGTTGAATACACAGTGTCAGGTGGCTGTAACTTTGGTGGCAGTGCGTATCCCCCCCCCCCAGACTCCCCTCCCACACACATGCGCTACGGCGAGGATTACCACGACCCGGAGGGACCCCCAGCCCCCAAAACGCCGGTAAGACAGAGGCTGGCAGGGGGAGACACGACACAATGGGGGAAACCCGGGAGCCCCCCACTCACAGGCATGCTGAAATGTTGCCCATCGTAACGGTAGAGTTTGTGCTGTCCTTTTTTCAGAGCCGGGTCAATAATCAACTTGTAACTTCTCCAATGGTGATTTCTTTTCTCGACAGAAGTGCTGGCTTGCGTGCTGTTCTCCATTCCGTTGATCCAACCTGAACGCGGGAGGGGGGG